TGTTTGGGATCTCCCTGTACTTTACACTTTGTCTATAAACTGAAAATTGCTATAAAAATATCTGTGAATTTTTAAAATTTCATAGGCCAAGATGACCAGAATGAAGACTTGTGTGTAGACATGTGTGTTTGCATGCACATCTGCATGTTTTTGGCAAGCCTGAGTGACCTCTGTCCTCAGTAACTAAGAACCTAGGGCAAGGGTGGACGAAGGGAGAAGACATCTCCTGGGGGCACAGCCATGCATGCCCTGGCTGTGGGCATCTGCCTGTGGGGGTGAGGGGAGAGCTGGAATCAGATCTGGAGATTCAGGCCACCAGGACAGTTCTGCTTCTGGGGTCTAGAGAATTTCCATTTGTTCTTTCCAAATAATGGCAGAGAAGGATAAATACATCACTGGGGATTGTGAGACAAACATCCAGATAATGGGACATAAAATAAAAACTGGGCTTTTCTGAGAAAGGACTCCCTATAGCATTTAAGGCTGATGCCACCATCCTGCCTTCCACTATGTGATGGATTTGGTCACATAGATGTCACACTAACACCTGTGTGTGGTGGGCAGGCAGGCAAGCATCCAGCTGATGGGAATAATGGTGGGGCAAACGTAGGCACCCAAATGTCAGTGGGTAGGACCTGAGGGAGTAGAATAACATGCAGGTGATATCAGAGTGTGCACTGGGATGTACTTTGGTCTTTTAGACCAAAGTATTTGAGGAAAGGTGAGAGTAACATAGATTTCTGCAGACACTGGAGAAAGATAATGGCTGCGTTTTTATAGGTAACACTGATTGAATGTGGGTTACACTTAGGTTTAGTTAATACTTGAGTAGGTGCACTAACATTTGAATGAGCAGTCTTACTCTGTAGCCAACATCTCGTTTTGTGGGTACTGTCTTTGGGAAGCAGGGGTGACATTCAGAGGTATGTGTATCAACATGGGAATCACCAAGTGGTGATGGTAACAGCTGGGTGAGCGAAGTAATACAGACTTTGTGGGCAGTATTTCTAACTTTATGGCTAATATCTGGAAAACTGAGCAGCCATGGGTAGTACCTGGTTGTGTGTGGGTAAAAATAAAATGAAAGTGAGTGCATCTGATGAGTAACATTTAAATGATTGTGGGCAATATTAAAGTGAGGATAGGGTAACATCTGTTTTCTGTAGGGTAACATCTGTTTTCTGTGGGTGACTTCTGAGTGAACATGTGTCACCCTTGAACCTGTGTGGTTTACAGCAGAATAATGTGGTTAACTCTCAAATTTCTACTGCTGTCACTGGTATGTAGTTGGGTAACAGACATCTGTGAGGTCATAGCTGAGAGAGTGGAGCTAACAGTCTGCACGGGTCACTTCTGACAGCTGGGCTACACCCAGATGTGTGTGGGAAACAACATGTAGACGAGTAAGGCCAAGTGGGCACCATCTCAAGTACTTCATGTTCTGCTTTGTCAGGGTGCTTTGAGCTACTCACACTCCCTGCTACCCTTGTCTCCCTCCCCTGCTGCTTCTTCTCACCCCCCACTTCCTCCCTCCTATACACCCAACACACCTAACGCACACTCACATACCCTTCCTCAACACCATGCTCTTTCTGGCACTATCCTGTTTTGTTCCTTTGTCCCTTTCTCCCTACTGATCTTCATAGTTTTGTCTCTGGTTCAGTTCTCATAACCCCCTTTCCAATGACTCAGACTTGAGTCTGCCAGAGTCAGGTCTTCACACTGACAGTTCTTCCTAAGGACATGTTCTTGAATATGAAAAGAATGCTGTTCTGTCCTTCTCCAATTTATATCAGCAGCATTTGATGTCACCTCTCCCACCCTGATTGAAACCTTCTTTTTACTTGCCTTGTTTCTCTGATGGTTTTGCCTGGATTTCCTTTCTGCATTCTCATTCTGCTTGGTTTTCAATGCTGGCTTCTTCAGGGTCCTTTCCTAGGATCTCTTTTCTTTTTATCTCACACAATCTTTGTATGATTTTATCTATCCCCATGACTTCCACTGCCTAATTAAAGACCTTTCAAGTCTATATTTCCAGCTCATACTTCTCCCCTAAGTTCCAGAATCCTGGACTCAGTGGCTCACTGGTAACCCCACCTAAATATCCCACCAGCACTTAAACACAATGGGTTCCAAATTGAATTTATCATCTCCTCTTTCAAGTATTTTTCTATTTCTTTGTAATCATTCCCAAAACCAACATCCAGCCAATTACCTAAGTAAGAAATTTGGTTGTCACTCTTTACTTCTTCCCCCTCCATTCCCAGTAATCACCAGCTCTGTGATCCCATGGTCAAGCACCTCTCAGATCTACTTAGCTTCATCCCCACTGCCAATACTTTAGTTAAGCCACTATCATCTTTCACTGGGACCAGCATGTAACACAATAGCTTTTGAAAGTATGTCCCTTCATCCCCCTTCATCTGTGTTCTCCAATCCATCCTATATACAAAAGAACAAATCCTGGCAGTACTACTAAAGCTCCCGGTGGTTCCCATTGCCCTCAGGATAAACTCCTCACGCATTCGCCAGGTCTGTAGGACTCTGTAGGCGGTCTCTATCCGGGTGTCCAACCCTCCTCTCCTACTCTCCTACAGACGTGTTTCAGGCACTGAAGCTGACACACTGAGCAACCATGCAGTGGACTGCGAACTCGGGAGGCTTAAAACAGAGCTGTTCTTCTGCCTGGGATCCTTTACATGTCATTTGTCCCTTCCCTTGGTTGAGTCTTCATCAGCTTTTAAATTTTTATTCAATATATACTTCACATCCTAAAGAAGCCATCTTTAGTTCCCAAGGCAAGGCTAAATTAGAGCACACCTCCCTGCTTCCCAAAGATGTCAGGAGGCACTGCCCACTTAGTCTACAGTTCCCTGCTTATTTATCAATTCCCCAACCCCAAAACAGTGAGTTCCATGAAATAAGAACTCTATAATCTTGTTCTACTCACATTCCAGGTGCTTAGAACAGCCTCTAGTTCAATAAATATTTTTTTTTTTTGCATGATGTCTTCTGAGTAAGAGAGTATTAACAAGTAGTCTGAGAAAACAGGCATTAGTTTGTGGGATGAATAAATATTTCAATTATAATTTATTCCCATTTTCCTTTCTTAAGCTTGGAATTTCCTCTAACTTCAAGATTCATCTCCAGGTTCCTTCTGTGATGTTCTAGGGCACCAACTCCTTTCTGTGCCCACAAGTCAGACCTTCTGTGGGCTCCTACGCCTGCTGTGGTTTCCCACTGGTTTGTTTCCCTGTGCACTTGACTAGGACTGATGAGTGTCCAGACTGGACCTAGTTCATCCCCAAGGCCTCAGCACCCAGCTTGGGGGTAGCAGCAGGTGTCTAATAAACATTTAAGTGAAGGGAAGGGATGAGAAGGGGGGAGTAGATATTTTGAGTTGGGTTATCAAGACAATGCAGGCATTAGCTGATGAGAGGAATGAAAATCATTTTGGGAACCAGGCAAATGGGAAGGGGGAAAGGTAAAGGCACAAAGGGATGGATAGTGAGGGGGCAGCCAGCTTATAGGAAGGTGAACCTAAGGAAAGGCAGGCTGGAGAGGGAGCTGGAAGGGACTTGGAGATATTACTTGGTGACAAAGAAAAGACCTGAGAATTCCAACTTGGGAGACAGAGGGATCTTAGGATGAGTGAAAACTCTGGGCAGTAATATCCAATGTCCACCTTAATTCGGGTTTTAGGGTCTCTTTTGGGAAGACTAGGGCTTGTTGGGGGTGGGGCACAGGAGATTATAATGTTAACTTTCCATTGAGACCTTCCATGTTCCCTCCCTCAGCCATCCCCCTTCTTTCCCCAGCCTTCCCATTGTGAGGGAGAACTGAGTGTGAAAGGAAAGGAGACCCAGAAAGGTTGGCAAGAGCAGGTCGTTGTCTACCCACTTCTGTGTCCTGGAGGAGACTATGAGTTAGGGGTGTACAGGACCCCTGGATGTCACCAGGGCCCAGGGAGTTAAGGGGTTCTGACCAGGAAGTGTGAGGCTGTGATGGAGCTGTGGGAGCTGTGGGGGACAAATGTGTCAGGGAGACAGTGGGCGTTTGTGGGAGCTGTGGGGGACAAATGTGTCAGGGAGACAGGGAGTAGTATGAAGGGATAGTGTGGGCGTTTGAGAGGCAATGTAAAGGCTGTGAGTGGGGTGGGGGCATCTATTACCGCTTTCAGGTGCAGTAAGAAGCATCTCGTGGAAGGGGCTTAGGGAGGAACCCACCTCGCGTCCCAGCTCCGCGGATACGAGGAGACTCACAGCTGAGGTTGCCAGTCCCGCTGCTGTTGAGGAGTGACCCCGCCGGGCGGCATAGGGGGACCCCGGGCCCGGGTCCGGTGGGCGATCCCAGCACACTCCGGTTCAGCTTGAGCAGCTCCATGGCCCCGGCCCAGCCCGCCGCCTCTCAGCTCAGCCGGCGGGCTCCGGCTGCGGCTCCACCTGCTCCCGCTGCGATTCCGGCGGAGGCTCCCGCCCCGCCTGG